TTTCCATAGATAGCTATCAATTCAGTGTGTCCATGGAAGGAGGTGAGTTCATGATCTTCCTACATTGCTCTCTTGAAAGGTCATTTTGATCTTTTCAAGCTTTTTAAGGTCATTCCAGAGTAACCTTTACTGTAGGGCTAGATTAGCCTCCCTGTTGAGGTGTAGCTTGCACGGCATCTCTGCTGAATTGCTGGTATATTCACTGGGGTCTCCTTAGTTTTGCTGGTGGGAACTGGAGTAATACTCAGTCTTGGGTGAGCTCTGGGAATCGTTCCACTCATAGCTCCCCAGGTTTTCCTTGCGAGTGTTCTCATCCTTGTGGAGCTTCACCATTTATAAGCACATGCAGATTTTTTTATTTAGCCAAAGATTCCAGAGGCCCTTATCTAAATTTCTGGAGCTCTTTGAATAGCTCCTTCATCTTGAGTACTCTGCCCTTCAGCGTAATTGGATTGGCTTGGCCTCCCTGAGTTTCAGTCTGTCCTCAAATCAGTGAGACCTCTGTGGTACATTGGAGTTCCCTCTCCTTGCTTTGCAATCCAGAAATTCCTTCCAGGTGGAAATCAAGGGCAATTTTAGGGCTTTCTTTCCCCAGGTATCACAGAGCTCTGCTGTCTGTTCTCCAGTGTCTGAAAGCAGTTGTTTGTGTATCTTGTGTAGTTTTTAAATTGTTAACAGTGGAGCTGAAGTCTAAACCTTATTATTTCCTCATGGCTAGAAGCAGGAGTCCAATACATAATACTTTGTGATATGAACAAGGGTCATAAGGCAGTTTCCAGGGAAATAAAGTACTAGGCAATGGATGCCTGGGTGGCTCAGTCAGTTAAGCATCCGACTTTGGCCCAGGTCATGATCTTGCATTTCACGAGTCAGGCTCTGTGCTGACAGCTCAGCACCTGGAGTCTGCTTCGGATTCTGTGTCTCCCTTGCTCCCTGTCCCTCCTCCACTCATGCTTTGTCTCTCTCTCAAAAATAAACATTTAAAAAAAAAAGAAAAAAAAAAGCACTAGGAAAGTAAATACCAGTTGTTACTATAATCATGTGATATGGTCATTCTAAAAGAAACCTTTGACTTCACGACTTTGATTTCATTGTGCCAACTTAATGCCCTTTCATTTGGTAAAAATGCAGTAATAGATGGGAGTCATTATTCTCCTTGTGCCATGTGAGAAAGTATGACAAAGATTATTTGCGTCTCTGTCACCCTTGAGTTACCTCTACCTAGTCATTAAAAAGTATTTTCTGCCACCAGACCTAAATTTCATACCTGTTTTGTTTAAACAAATTAAAAAAACAAAAAAACAAAAAAAAACCCTCTTCTTATATATACTCTATTATGAAACTTCAAAAACTTGGACCAGAAGTTTCCTATTTTATTTTAATAAACTCTTAGGGGGTTTCGTTCATTTTTCTTTTGTTGTCTTTTTATTGCCTTACTTTGACATTAAGTGCTATGGCTGTGACATTTCAGAGTTTGCCAAACTTGTGGAAGAATTCCGAAATTTTGGGGCGAAGCTTCTGCAGTCCACCAGTGGTCGCAGCCATGGCACATTTGAATGGGTTGACAGCATGTTGGTTCGGGCTCTGAAGTCTGGAGATTGGCTTTTGATGGACAATGTTAACTTCTGCAAGTAAGGACATTCTGCTTAAACACCAGATTGAAATTTGGGATATGCTTATCAAAGTAGAAACCCAGTTGGAAGCTCTGGGTTTTGAACCTGTTGTTTTCTTAACCTCAAATGTATCCTCAGTCATCTTCTGTAGTCTTATCCCTGTCGTGAACAAAGGTAGTTGGTCATCAGCTGCAAGATTTTAGCTCTGTGTGACTGTTTTGGGGTGAACTGAAGGCTAACAAAATTTGTTTACTTTTCCAATTTTTGAGGTAGACCTTTTTATTTAACATCAAAACTCCTTTTGTTAGGGTCATTCTTGAGTACAGGTTTTTGAAATGGAGGATCTTTTACAAGGCAGACATTAGAAAATGAGTATCAGTGTATTGCTTTGATTCTAAAATAACGAAAACGGCGTCATAAAACTACCATAGTACACAGCATAATAGAAGCCACTCCAGGTTGGCTGATGGTTTCTCTACCTGAAGCATTTTTCAGAATGTTTTGAATTGAAACCCAGTTGCCTTTAAATTGATTTGATAATGTTGGGAAGTGGGGAAGATGGAAGGGGAAAGAGAAAAGAGTTAAACATCATGGAACCATTTCCCTTAATTTTGTTTATTTATTTAACAGTATTTTGGGTATTTACTGTGTATGAATCTCTGAGCAATGTGCCTTGGGGAGTGAAAAGGGGAGCAGATGGGGAGAGAGAGAGCACAATTCTATGTGGGGGAGTGATCCATGCTGAAGGAGGACATGGGTCAGGACCAGTGGGAAGCCTGTGTAAGGAAAGTAGAATGCGTGCAGATGTCAGTCTGCCACCATTTAATTTGACGTCTCTCTATGCAGCCCATCAGTGCTGGATCGTTTGAATGCTTTGCTGGAACCTGGAGGTGTTCTCACTATTAGTGAAAGAGGAATGATAGATGGATCCACTCCCACCATAACACCAAATCCCAATTTCAGGTATTTGTGCCTCTTAAGTTTCTGATTAAGAATCTGACCACCTCAATAGTGGAGGTGGACATTCAGTAGGACGTTGTTACATATTATATTCATACATTCAGTCATAAATATGTTCACTCATTTATTGATTCAGTTAAATATTTATGGAGGCTCTGCTATTTGCCAGACTCTCAGTAAACAAGAGGGGGCACTTGGATGGCTCAGTTGGTTCAGGGGGTCGTGAGTTCAACCCCCACATTGGGCACAAAGCTTAATTTAAAAAAAAAATAAAAAAATAGTTGAGGTTTTTGTAGTGGGTTGGTGGTAAAGGGTAGAAGCAGGGGGAATGGTCTTAAGCCTTTTGCAATAGTTCAAGCAAGAGATACTATAGCTTAGACTGGGGTAACATGAGTTGGGATTTGCTGATCAGACATGTGGGTTGAGAAAAAGAGGAAACAAAGATTTTACCTAAATTTTTGGCCTGAGTAATTGGATAAATATGCGAGCCATTTACTGAGAAAGGGAAGACTGGCAAAGGAGCAGGGTTTTGTTATTGTTTTGTTTTGTTTTTATGTTTGTTTATTTTTGAGAGAGAGAGAGAGAGAGGGAGAGAGACTGTGAGTGGGGAAGGAACAGAGAGAGACACATAGAATCCAAAGCAGGCTCCAGGCTCTGAGCTGTCAGCACAGAGCCTGACACGGGGCTCAAACCCTTTAACCATGAGATCATGACCTGAGCTGATGTCAGATACTCAACTGACTGAACCACCCAGGTGCCCTGGAGCTTGTTTGATGTAGGGAAGGTCAACAGGGAATCCACTGTTTAGTTTTGGAGATGTTAGATAGCTAGGCAGAGATGTTGAATATATGAAGATAATTGTTTCAGAAGAGCACACTGCTCCCTTTTTTGATCTCTGTAGGTGAGTTAGAATGATGAATTAGCACTATTTGATTTGGGAAATATCTGAAAGTAAGAATTTTAACGTTCTCAGATACCATTAAAGGTGCACTGGATAAACACTAGTTTCTAAGGTGAATAGGTTTAGAGACACTGATTTTGCTGTATTCATGCATTTTGGCACTACAAGATAGAAGACAGATGAAAGTAGCAGACTTTGAGTTAGTGAGATCGTCTTGATAAGCTCCCTGAAGAGGAGCCATATACGGTCTGCCTTCACCACTTGTTGTTGAGCAGCCTCATCATTGGTTGCAACTGGGATTTTAATTTTTTTTCCTTTGGATTGCTATATTACCAGACTTTTTCTCTCGATGGATCCTGTTCATGGAGAAATATCCCGAGCGATGAGGAATCGTGGACTTGAAATCTACATTTCAGGAGAAGGGGATGGGAACATTCCAGATAACCTGGATCTGAAAGTTCTCCTGCACAGCCTTGGGTTGGTGGGGGACAGTGTGTGTGACACCCTCTTGGCTCTACACATGGAGATCCAGAGTACTGTTGTAGGTAAGGTGATTGACTTCTAGCCTCTGTGGAGTTTTCTTATAGAAATTCATATGCGGACTTCAAGCTGTATTACCAAGCTGTAATCATCAAGACAGTAGCACAAAAACAGACACTCAGATCAGTGGATCAGAATAGAAAACCCAGAAATGGCCCCTCAAATGCATGGCCATCTAATCTTTGACAAAGCAGGAAAGAATATCCAATGGAATAAAGAGAGTCTCTTCAGCAAGTAGTGCTGGGAAAACTGGATGGCAACATGCAGAAAAATGAACCTAGACCACTTTCTTAGACCACACACAAAAATAAACTCAAAATGGATGAAAGACCTCAATGTAAGACAGGAGGCCATCAAAATCCTCCAGGAGAAAGCAGGCAAAAACCTTTGACCTTGGCTGCAGCAACTTCTTACTCAACACGTCTCTGGAGGCAAGGGAAACAAAAGCAGAAATGAACTATCAAAATGAACTCATCAAAATAAAAAGCTTCTGCACAGTGAAGGAAACAATCAGCAAAACTCAAAGGCAACTGGGAATGGAAGAAGATATTTGCAAATGACATATCAGATAAGAGGTTAGTATCCAAAATTTATAAAGAACTTATCAAACTCAATACCCAAAAAACAAATAATCCAGTGAAGAAATGGGCAAAAGACATGAACAGACACTTTTCCAAAGAAGACATCCAGATGGCTAACAGACTCTTGAAAAGATGCTCAACATCACTCATCATCAAGGAGATACAAATCAAAACCACTATGAGATACCACCACACACTTGTTAGAATGGCCAACATTTAACAACTCAAGCAACAACAGATGTTGGCGAGGATGCAGAGAAAGAGGATCTCTTTTGCACTGCTGGTGGGAATGCAAATTGGTGCAGTCACTCTGGAAAACAGTATGGAGGTTCCTCAAAAATTAAAAATAGAACTACCCTATGACCCAGCAGTTGCACTACCAGGTATTTATCCAAGGGATACAGATATGCTGTTTCGAAGGGGCACATGCACCCCAATGTTTATAGCAGCATTATCAACAATAACCAAAGTATGCAAAGAGCCCAAATGTTCATTGATGGATGAATGGATAAAGAAGATGTGGTATATATATATATATATATACAATGGACTATTACTCGGCAATCAAAATGAATGGAATCTTGCCATTTGCAACAACGTGGATGGAACTAGAGGGTATTATACTAAGTGAAATTAGTCTGTCAAAGAAAGACAAATATCATATGACTTCACTCGTATGAGGACTTTAAGAGAAAACAGATGAACTTAAGGGAAGGGAAGCAAAAATAATATAAAAACGGAGGGGGACAAAACATAAGAGATTCTTAAATATGGAGAACAAACAGATGGTTACTGGAGGGGTTGTGGGAGGGAGGATGACCTAAATGGGTAAGGGGCATTAAGGAATCTGCTCTTGAAATCATTGTTGCACTATATGGTAACTAACTTGAATGTAAATTTTAAAAAAGAAAGAAAGAAAGAAATTCATGTGTTGGGGTGCCTGGGTGGCTCAGTGAGTTAGGCATCTGACTTTGGCTCAGGCCATGATCTCATGGCTCATGAGTTCAAGCCTCGCATGAGGTTCTATGCTGAGAGCCTGGAGCCTGCTTTGGATTCTGTGTCTCCCTCTCTCTGCCCCTCCCGTGCTCTCGCTCTGTCTCTCTCAAAAATAAATAAACATTAAAAAAAAAACAATAAAAAAAAGATTCATGTGTTATTCCATTTAATTGCTAGTCTAGGTTTTTTTTTTTTTTTAATGTTTATTTTTGAGAGAGAAAGCATGAATGCGGGAGGGGTAGAGAGAGAGGAGCAGAAGATCTGAAGTGGGCTCTGCACTGACAGCAGTGAGCCCTATGGAGGGACTGAGGTGGGGGGGGGGGGCTCAAATTCATGAACCGTGAGCCAAAGTTGGACGCTCAAGTGACTGAGCCACACAGGCTCCCCTAGTCTAGAGGTTTTTAAATTTAGTGTACATACAAATAGAAATTACCTGAAAAGTCTTTAAAAATGTAGATATGGTGGTATCCTACTTCCCCCTAAGGGAGTGGGTTCAGCAAGTCTGAGTGAAGCACAGAAATTAGTATTTTAAAGAAGTTTCCCAGGTAATTCTGATGGATTCATTCAGAGACCCATTCTTTGAGGAATACTGCTTTAGACATTAATGTAAAGTTTGTCCTTATTTTCAGGATGGTCATTGAATCTTTTGAAGGTAGAATAAAGAGGGAACTTTGACTTGTTCAAAACAGCCAGGTGTTACTTCTTTTAAATGTCCAAATACACAGGAGTAGGCAAGAATAATAACAAAGATAATGCTGAAAAATGATGATACTCCTTATTGAGTAACCATTATGTGTTAGGTACAATGTCAGTTGCTTTTTTAGTCTTCTTCACATTAGTTCTTCAGGGCATGTTTTCATTTTATAGATAGGGCTCAGAGAGGTTGAATAACTCATCAGAGCATAACAGTTAATAATGATAGGTGAGAATTGAAAGTAGTTCTGTTGGATTTTAAAGTGCTTGGTCCTTCATGAGACCATGCTCTTTCTGCTACCTTCATTGTGTGTCAACTTTAGGTTTAAGGATATGTGTGATCAGGCTTTGTCATACTTGTAATTGTTGCTTTCCTGCACTGTGCTTCTGACAGAAAGAGAGGGAGGGACGCAGGTTAGGGAAGGAATATAAATGTTCCTACAAGTCCATTGTGTGCTAGTGAGACCCTAATATCCACTTAGATGCCTTTCTAAAATAAGTGTCTGGGTGAATTTGAGTAGAACAAAGCTTGATGTGAAGTTGAATTTATTTGTTTTCATTGGAGATTTTGCAGAATCTGTTGCTCATACATAGATGGCAATATGTTTTCCTTTATAGGTTCTCCAACATCATCTATTTCAACTTTAATTCAGACAGCCTTACTCATTGTGCAGTGCCTACAGCGAGGGCTGAGTTTAGACACAGCCTTTTCTGAAGTATGCTGGGAAGCATATGTCCGCTCCCAGCATTCACCAGCAAACCAAAAGGTACTGTGAAATGTTGCAAATAGTTTTCTCAGTTATAACACTCTACGTTATTTAGGTGGAGGAAATTCTATTGATGATAACTTTAATGAACTGAGAGTGGACTGCTATAGTTACTTTCTAGTAGAGATCTGGTATCCCAAGTAATTTTCTGCTAAATAGGTGAAATACAATATTTACTTCTTGGAAACTTAGCTATCATTAGAAAAAGTGGAATTTATCCTGTAATGTTGAAAACTGAAGGATGTGTATGTTACAATATGACAACAACTATCAGGGCCTGGAAAACTATTATTACTCAGCTAGTTTTTGGTATTAGCACTTATATGTTGTTGCTTATATACCACGTGTTTTTATCTCCTACCAGCTTGTGCAGGCTTTACTGGAGAAACATGTTTTTTCTCTACAAGCCCATGAAACCTGGGGTAACTCCATCCTTGCCATGGGCCTGTGGCCAGATTCTCTGCCCTCAGCAATCTTTGCTACAGAAGATTCTCACCTCTCTAGAGTCCGAAGTGATGGACAAGTCTTAGTATATTGCCTTAACAGGATGAGCATGAAAACCAGCAGCTGGGCCAGGTTAGTGGAGCCTTGAGGTTGTATCTCTTTGGCATCTTGGCTTTTTTTTTTTTTTTTTTTTTTTTTTTTTTAATGATAATGGTCATGACACAACATGTCTGACCAGAATGTTGTGTGGTCATTTATCACCCAGCTGTCATAGTTTCCTTGTTCATTGCAATATTCCTCCCTATTTATTATTCACTTCATAATGTTTTACTTGTCCTCCTTTGAAGGGGACTAATCTTTTCCCCATTACCTCTTTGATCCATTGTTTGCAAAGTTATTTACCTAGTTCTTTGAAATATAAGATGTAAGTTCATTCTAGTACTGACTTTGCCTTGCTGTTCTAATTAATTTCAGGATTCAGCCTCTTACCTTACCAGACTTGGAGAAAATTATGCAGTCCTCTAACCCTGAGAGCTTGAAATTCAGTTCAATCGAAGTGGCTACTTACTGGATTGATGAACCAGATGTTCTGGCCATGGCTGTTAAATTGCTTATAGAAAGAGCAACCAATCAAGATTGGGTGCTCAGAGTTAAATGGCTTTATCATTTAGCCAAGAATATACCACAGGGGCTTGGTGAGTCAAAAAGCTTACTTTGTATATGTAATAAGTGAATATATTTACCCGTACCCTATTTTTGTGCCTCAGCAGCTGTGTTATTCTGTGAGGACACTGTTAAAATTATATCTGGAAGATCTCCTAGCAAGAAATTTGTGACCTGGCATTACTGTTTGTATAACTGTTAAAAAATTTAAGGAACATATCTGCTCTTAGATGTGTCCTAAGAGAAACTTTGCTCCCATGTAATTCATTTCAGTATCTTTCCACCTATCAAATCCAAAAAGAAAATGTACTATATTATGTTACTATTTATTTTTTGAACATGCTTCTGTACTATTGCTGTACAACATTACTGTCTGGGAAAGGTTGCTTTTGGTAAATTCATTTCCCCTAAAAGTGCATAAGAGACTTTTATTTTCATTCCAGTGCTCTAATTTTTCATGCTTAATTTCTTTGTACTTCTTTCATTTTAAGAGGAAAAATCCAACAGTAACAACATTGCATGGGTTGCAAAGTACAGAGCATGGAATTTGTTGGTACACCTTGTTGCCTAAAGTAACTGAGTTTATATGAACCTTTCTATCCATGAGAAATTAGCCAGAAGATGTGTATATTGTATGGTATATGTGATCTGTCTACAAATGTATAGAGAATTTATAAATTCTTGTCTGCATTGTCCTATATGAGAGCTACTAGCCACAGATGGCTACTAAAATGTAAATATAAGTTAATTAAAATGAAATAAAATCTAAAATCCGGTCCTTTGGGGTGCCTGGGTGGCACATTCGGTTAAGCATCTGACTTCAGCTCAGGTCATGATCTCTGTTCATGGGTTTGAGCCCCATGTCAGGCTCTATGTTGACAGCTCAGAGCCCGACGCGGGGCTCGAACTCACGGACCGCGAGATCATGACCTGGTTGAAGTCGGATGCTTAACCGACTGCACCACCCAGGCGCCCCAAATTTTTTTTAATCCAGTCCTTAGTTGTACTGGCCACATTTCAAGTGCTTACTAACATGTGACTAGTGGCTACTCTGACAGTGCAACTATAGGATGTTTCTTTCCATCATCACAAAAAGTTTACCTGGACAGCCCTACTTTAGATACTAACATTTGCTTCTCCTTCCTCCACAGAATCAATACAGATTCATTTGGAAGCCAGTGCTGCATCACTTAGGAATTTTTACTCAAATTCTCTCTCAGCTGGGGTCAGTAATGTCATCAAAATATTACAACCAAATATAACAGGTACTGCATGAGATTTGATTTTGAGTTCTCAGCATAGTTTAGGAAATTGGTCCATTGAGTTCATGGAAAAAGACCTGACAGAACTACCACTGTGATAACAGGAATATTTAGAAGACTCAAAGTATCCAGATGCAAATTCCTCTTCTTGTTAGAAACTATCCATTGTATCCTTTAGTCTTTGAAAGAGGATGATGATATACAAGCATAGAAGGAAGAACACAGGAGTGGAAGACTGGTCTCTGGTCCCAACTCAGCCACAACTGGCTTGTTCATTTGGGACCCATCATTCATACTCATTGCCTGTGTTTGAAAAATACGGGAATTAGGGGCACCTGGGTGGCTCAGTCAGTTAAGCATCCGACTCTTGGTTTCAGCTCAGGTGATGATCTTGAAGTTCGTGGGTTCAAGACCAGCACCGGGCTCTGCGCTGACAGTGCGGGGGCCTGCTTGGGATTCTCTCTCCTCTCTCTGCCCCTGCTGCACGCGTGCGCACGTCTTTCTCTCTCTCTTAAAAAGAATAAGGAAATTAGGGACATTTTGACAGAACCAGGCTTTTAATTTCCCACCCCATCTTCATTTGATTTTGACCAAAAAAGAAAATATGATGCTTTTGTGCTAAACCAATTACCTTATCTACACTAAAGGTTAACAAGGTAAATGTTGGGAAGAAAACAAACAGGGAAAACTACCGTAGTGGTCATGTTGTGGCTGAACTAAATCATGGCTTGCCAAGTATGTGGGATTTTTGGTTATTGGGAACACAGTTCTAGAGTAGAATAGCAGGTTCCCTTTTAAGCAGATATCATTTGCCCATTATTGGAACATACTAGGTATGCCTTTGTCCTCCTTTTCAAATGTGTAGCTCTGGATTGTGTAGTCTTCCTGGACTTTGGAACACGCGCTCCCTCTTTCATGTACTTTGCTGTTCACAGTAGGCATTTGTTAGTCTACTGTATGGTGGGTACTGTTAAACCTTGTGCTCCACTGACCTACCCAGCCATCTTCAACATAATGTTACCGTTGTTTTGTCTTACCTCCCTTCCCTGGGTTCTCACAACCCCTGGAAAGGGGTCAGATCTGAGCACTGCTGCTTTACAAAAGAAGTGTCAAGTTTAAGACAAAGAAGTGTGAGGTAGCAGCGAACACCATAGTCTGTTATTGTAAAGAAATGGCTTTTGGCTTTTAAGCGAAATAATCTTGAGTTGTTTTTCTTACTGAAAGCAAACAATGAGAAATATATTCATTCATTTTTCCACCATGTAAGTTAGTTTTTTTGCGGTTAATGAGCACAGGTTGGGTGATTAAGCTCATGGATTCTTTTCTGACCCACTGTGGGACCTGAGCAGGTGAATGTATTGGTCATAATGCTTATGTTGTAACAGGAACTACCTTCGTCCTAAAGCAGAATGAATTTTCAGGATTAGTAGAAATTTTGCATTTAGAAAGGAAATAGTGTAGAAGCAGTTGAACCTTACTTTTCTAGTATTATGGGCTGAAACCAGCATTTTCCTGTTCTTTGTCTTCCCCATCAGGACTCAATGTGATCAGATTAGGACCAAGAAAAGTCTTCAGCTGAAATTTGCTAGGCAAGGAGTTTAACTCCAAAATTTCGTTTGTTTCTTAAACCAGATGAATTTGTGATCCCTTTGGACCCCCGGTGGAATATACAGGCTTTGGACATCATTAGAAATTCGATGGACTTTGACCCACAAACCGATCAGCCTGAGCAGCTCTTTGCCCTTTTAGAGTCTGTTGCAAACAAGTAGGTGAAGCCTGCTATTCTGGGCACTGTTTGCCTCACTGTACACCATAGCTTCACAGATCATGCCTTTTCTAAACTCTGTCACATCATGCTCCGTGCTCAGTGAAGTAATTCTGACTCTGATGTCAAAATGCCTATAAATTTTGCAAGTTCTTAATAATTTAACAAGATGCTTTAAGAGGTACTAGCTTAACTTTAATGTTGTGTTTATGTTACAATTAATCCTTTATCATAGGGTAGTTATGTTTCTATTGTTTTCTGTTCATGATTCTTGGCAGCTCCTCCCATTTTCACGTGCTCATTTTCTTGTAGGTCCTATCCTCAGTGTTGTGTCCGCATCATTTTCCATCCTCAAATGCTGCAGAGATATGTAGCCCCTGCATGCTTACACATACACTCAACATATAAATTTACTTAATTGTGATATAAGCTGGTCTTTTCTCACATTTAATGTAATGGCCAGAGTATTTTTTTTTAATTAAATAATTTATTTTTTAATTTACATCCAAGTTAGTGCAACAATGATTTCAGGAGTAGATCCCCTTACCCATTTAGCCCATCCCCCCTCCCACAACCCCTCCAGCAACCCTCTGTTTGTTCTCAAGAGTCACAGTATTTTTTTAATTAGCCATCAGTGTTAATGTAATAGGTTTTTAAAAATAATTTTATGATGAGGTATAATGTGCATTACAGAAAAGTACACTGTTATTAATAATGAGCATATTTGGTTTTGATGAATTTTCACAAAGTGAACTCATGCATGTGTTGTGAACTAGCACCTCAAAGGCCCCCTTGTCTCCCCTCCCCTTGTTCCTCCCCTGGTAACTTCTAACACCAGAGATTAATTTTATAATGGCCACTTTTAAGAGTTCACAGTGCAGTTTGTCAGATCATGGCAGAGCAAGAGTGAGGCCTGGCAGTCTTCCTAGGTGCAGCTTTTCCAGGGCATCTGTCTTCTGCCCCGTGCTACCACCAACTCAGTTGTCATCACTACACCTCCATGTCTCTAGTCCAGAATTTTCAGGGGCTGGAGAGGAATGGCAGGTTGAAGGAGATTGATGTTCTCAAGATTTCAGCAGGTAGAGGATGTGATTGCAAAGTAGTATTCACCAATAACCAATACTACTTATTATGTTATCAAATCTCATTTCAGGACAATCATATATCTTGACCGGGAAAAACGGATATTTACTGAAGCAAATTTGGTTTCTGTTGGTGGCATAAAGTTAAGAAATAGTGTTTTGAGAATGTCCTTTGAATTCCATAAAGGTGAGAGGTTTCCTTTTTGTATTCTTGAGTTAATGCATCTGATCACATAATGTCTCTAAAGTGAAGAGACCTTGAGCAGCTGCTGCCATTTCACTAATTTCCTTTTGATTTGCTGGACTGATTTTAAACACATCCCCTTATTCAGTAGTAACACCTAACTGCTTTTTACATGTCTTTGATTTCATTTACTTTTTATAGCAACCTTATGTGGTGTAGGTCCCATGCTGTGAAAGAGAAAAGGGAGGCACAGAGATGCTCAAGGTCACATCTCTAGCAAGTAACAGAGTTAGAGTTTGAAATCTAGATCTGTTGGCTCAAAAAGTTCATGCTGCTAAGTATTTGGTTATAGGTTCTTTCTTCATCCTTTATTTTTTTTAATTGAAAAGATAGAAGTCTGCGTTTGAAGCAGTTATTGTTAATAGTACATTGATTTGTATCTTCTCACCTGTCTGTGCTCTTCATCCATTCACACATATATACACATCTTGTTTTGTATTTAAAGAAGTACTTGTATAAAATATGCATTAATGCTCTATAATTTCCATTTTTCAGTAAGAGGTTATAAACATCTATAGGTGTACATACCTGATCAGTTATGTTTAATATGATAATGGTAGGCTAAGAATTTGCTTTCAATTGTGACCTTTCAAAATTGACCGTACTGGAGATGCAGTTAAGTTCATATTACTGTTGAGTTTGAAAATATCTAGAGATGAATTTAAATCTGATGGAATGTTCTTATTTATGTCAACTCCAAGATCCAGAGAGCTATCACAGCCTGCCCCATGAAATTGTGGTCAATCTTGCTGCTTTTTTTGAACTTGGTGATGCACTAATCCTGCTCTGGGTACAGTCCTCCCAGGGGATGGTGTCTGATGTCAGTGTCATGGAGGTGAGGAAATGTATCTATATTAATTTTTGTGCCAAGACAAATGTTTAAGACTCTTAAGGGTGAGATAAACTACAATGTTGTTATATGTCCAATATTATTTGAGAAATTTAGTTCTTAACAGTTTTAAATATATATACATATTTTAAAGCTTAATGAGTATACAACTGACCTATCATGAAGAGCATATATTTGAAGTGTACGATTTTATGTTTTGACACGTACACACCTTTGAAGCCGTTACCACGATAATGAACATGTACAAATGAATATTCTTTTGTATTTCCTTCTTCTCCCTTGCTCCCACCCTAAATTTGTTCTCCCTATTTAAGAGTCTCCCCAAAAAACTTTAATAGATACCTTTAAGAAAATGAAAACACTGGGAGAAACTTGAAAATTGGGCTCTATTTTGTTTGTATGTAAATTACATAAAAGTATAATTCTAAATTATAGATACCATAAATTATACAAGCAAACTAATAACACCACCCAACTTTTTAAATGAGCAAGATAATTTGAATAGATACTTCTCAGAAGATACATGAATGTCCAGTAAGAACTTCAAAAATTCCAACATCATTAGTTATCAAAGAAATGTAAGTGAGGTGCCATGCACCAAAATGGCTAAAGTTAAAATCACTAACAGTAGCAAGTATTGGCAAGGAAACAGAACAACTGGAATTCACCTGTGCTGCTGGTTGGAATGCAGCTGCTTTATAAGAAAAGTTGGCAGTTTTTTTATAAAACTATATGTACACTTACCATGTGACTCAATAATTCCATTTTCCCTAAGGAAATATTTCTGAACTTTAAGTACCTGGGGGGAGAATCTTTGTCTTCTCTGACTGTTTTAATGTCCCTAAAAATATTTCAACCGAATGCTACACCTTTCATGGGTGTATGTTGAGTATTGATTAACAATTGAAATCTGTGTCTTACTGAGAGGTGTTTGTGAGCGTGGTTTTCTCTGTTTTTAGATCTTGGATTCCCTGCGGTGGCGGGACCGGTTTTGGACCATAGCTGACACAGTAAAAGTGGATGCCTCAGGCCTGGCCCTGCTTGCCCTTCATTGGCACTGGGTTTTAAAACATCTGGTCCATCAGATCCCTCAACTCCTAATGAACCATGAAGACAAGTAAGACTCCTATTTGGAGTAATAACTCAATATCTACAGTACTGATGATAAAGAGAAGAGGGTTTGGAATTGAAACTTTCTTCTTGCTTTATTTTGGCTTATTCCCATGGCCTTTTGGTGAATGGAAATCAAATATAAAATGTTAAATGATGTCTCTTACTATCCAGCACTTCCCCCTTTTCTTACATCCCTCTGCGCCTTTTCCCTTCTTTACAGATACTACAAAGAGGTTCAGACTGTCTCAGAACATATTCAGAATTGCTTGGGGAGCCCAACTGGCGGCTTCACTGGTGTAAAGAAGTTGCAAAAGTTCCTGGGACGGCCATTTCCTTTTAAGGTACAACTTGGAAACATGTAGCAAACACAAAGATTTGAGCTCTTATGCTCAAATCTGGAGTTCTGTAACATGGGAACTGCCATTCATCTAGACTCATAAATGTTTGCTGAATACTCTTAATTGATTTGTTAAGTGTTAACATTTTTGTTTATTCTTGAGAGTATTAAGTCTGGATAGAGTTTTAATTTGATTAGTGTAAAGTCTCCTGAGAGCAACAATAGACAAACCTTATGTTTTCTAGAATTGTGGAAATATTTAAAAATTTTTGAGACATGAATAGGCTGCTAAAATCTGCATTTCTCCTCTGTAATAGATTCTGCTGGGTTTTGTTGTTTCAGAACAAGCTGGTGGTAGAGTGTTTTTCTCAATTGAAAGTACTTAACAAAGCACTTGCCATCAGGGAGTGGATGCCTGCCCTTGGGGAAAGCGGATGGTGGGAAGATGTTAATCGTCTCCAAGTGGTTGCTTCTAAATGGACTTTAAAGAAAAGTCTCTTGCAGGCGTGGGGGCTGGTCCTCAGAGCTAATATTCTGGAAGATGTCAACCCAGGTAATCTGCTTTAGAGTTATCCTGCTAACAGTTGCTCTAAAAGTATCTGCTGCTCTGCAGCCAATAAATTTTAAGTTTTTCACATAGATTTTCTTTTTTTCTGTTTCTTTTTTCTTTTCCTTTTTTTTTTTTGTATACTATAACCGTCGTTAAATAAGCGTCAGGCATAGAACTGAACTTTACATATACTGTTTAATTCTGTCATTAGAATTGTGCGGGTAATAATAATATCATTTCACAGGTATAAAACTCAAGCTCAGGCTAAGCTCACAGTTACATAACTAGTTGTTGGGAATCTGAGCCTATACTACTGACGATTATTCTGTAATATCACTTGTGTCTTTTTGTCCAGATGAGCTGAAGGATCTTGTGAATGCTCACTGTTTAGAACTAAAAGCCAAAGGAATTTCACTTGGTTTTCTGGAGAAAAAGCACAATGAAGCTTCCTCCCTGTTCCAACCAGACTTTACCTCCTTAATCCAACTCACCAGGAGTGTTCAGTTGTGGCCTGCAATGGAGTACCTGGCTCTGCTTTGGCAGTACAAAGTGACAGCTGATTTTATGACACAAGCTTGCCTAAGAAGGTAAGCCATTTTCCTCAGGGGAGATTTTTTTGTTGTTGTTAGGTTATTCTACGTATGCTACGTGTGAAACAAAGCATAGACTTGTCTTAAAGGGGAATAGTCTTACTGAAACAGAGGGAAGTCAGTTGCCACTTTGGAAAGCTGTAACTTCTTGAAGATTCTTTGCCTGTTTTGACTCCACCTCTATAAGTTACTAGGTATTTTTCCAGCAGAATTGCTTCTTTGTGTTTCAGTAAATGCACTGTAAGTTTTGTGTGTTCCATCTTCCCATACATAACAGATTTTTAGCAGTTTGTTGATAGCCTATAGTCCATCCTCTCTTTCTCTTTATTTTTGGAACAGGTCCAGCAAAAATCAGCAACCCCAGACAGATAAGGAGAGAAGTCCTCACATCCTGTTTTGTCTTAAGCACACACCAATTGCTCCACAAGAGCTTCAAGCCTTTTGGTACTTACTGCACCATCAGAAGGTAAAAACCAAAACCAAAAAGGGAAATAAGCCTTCTTTATACTATAAGCCAATTAGACTTTCTGTGGCAGACTGGTTGCAGAATGGTTTATTTATTTAATTTTGCAATCCCGGGGTGCCTGAGTGGCTAAGTGTCTGACTCGGCTCAGGTCAGGTGATGATCTCGCAGTTCGTGGGTTCAAGCCCTGCGTCGGGCTCTGTGCTGACAGCTTGGAGCCTGGAGGCTGCTTTGGATTCTGTGTCTCCTCTCTCTGTTCCTCCCCTGCTCACGCTGTGTCTCTCTCTCTCTCTCAAAAATAAGTAAAGGTTTTTTAAAAAAAAGTTTAAAAAATAAATAAAATAAAATAAAAATTTTGCAATCCCATGTTGTAAACTCTAGTCTTATCTGAATTAACTTTCGAAAGGGAAAATTTTGAATGTCATTTGCAGTAATTACCTGGGTATTTCTCACCTCTTATCACAGAATCATTCTATTTGGTTTCCATTAAATGAGGCTAAAATATTTATTTTTTATTGTTTATGTAAAAATATATCATGAGAGTGTTTTACTCTCTCCTCCAAGAATAGCCATTGAATATGAATGGTGACAAACTATAGTCAACTTCATTACTTAATGTTTATTTTGAGAGAGAGACAGAAAGAGCAGGATAGGGGCAGAGAGGGAGGTAGAGAATCCCAAGCAGGCTTCACACTGTCAGTGCTTGAGGTGGGTTCATTGAAAGCTTGAACCCACGAACTGTGAGATCATTACCTGAGCCGAAGTCAAGAGTCAGATGCTCAACCGACTGAGCCACCCAAGTGCCGTTCATTACTTAATATTCTAATGATGTTTTATTCATTTATCTGTTTTGCTGGTACATTATAATTGTTTGATTCACTTGTATTTTCTCATTTACCTTCTAAAGGCAGATCTCCGTTTTATAAAATTATAAACAGGATAAATGACTTAACCAAGATGACCGGGTGGCAGAAAATCAGCAACATTAGAATTAATATCTTTAAACCCATGTTAATTTTAGATAAGTATTCTAAAAGAGAGACCTCATAACTTGATTTATGGATTTTTCTCAAATGCGCTCTTATCTATTTATCTCTAGGTGTCTACTGAAGAAATTATTTCCTTGTGGTCTGACTTATTTAATTCCACATTTATGTCTTTCTGGAGCAGTACTGTTACTACAAATCCAGAGTACTGGCTAATGTGGAGCCCTCTGCCTGGTGTACAGCAGAGGGAGATGCCCAAGTCCCTTTTGGACTCCACATTGAAGGTTTGTTGGCATAAAGTCATAAAAATATTTGATAGTGGAAAAAATTTCTTGATCTAGCAACAAACATGTATTCCTAGGACAGAGCAGTGACTAAATAAGTGATGGCAATATTTTGTTTTCTTCAGGAAGTTAAGAAGTATACCTTCAAAAGAAAGATTCTGTCTTAAATCATTTGGGAAATTATGAATTAAAGTAAAAAAAAAAGTTTCCTTTAAAAGGTCTTCATTTTCTTCTCTAATTAAAATACCATTTTTCCTAGTTACAAAATATTTTAACAGTATAGAAATGTGTATGTATGTGTGTATACGTATGTATATATGCAGTTGACCCTTAACACCAGGTTTGAACTGCATGGGATTACTTACACGTGGACTTTTTTCTGATAAATATGTATTTTATATTGTGACTGAAAAGTAAGGTAGATGCCAAATGACTAGATGCAAAAGGAAGATGGAGGAAGGATGCAGGAAGGCTGTAACAACAGGGCTATCACCTGATTCTGGCACTCCTTATCCCACTACCTGTGGTATTGAACTGAGAGAGGTGTGAAGGAGCCAGGCAGGGCAGAGGTGGGGGGGTTGGCAGGGCCAGTCACTGGCCAGAGTTGGCCCAGGACCACAGAATGAGAACCTGCCTCCCTCCTGGGATAAGGAATTCAGGAAAACATCAGGGCAGGATAAGTACTAGGCAGGATTCTTGGTGGCAGAGGGGACAGCAGGGTGGGTGCTGTCTGTGGTTCTTTGCCTTTCTCTGGACTGTACTTGGAAGGAGATTCTGCACTCTTGGGTAGAGAAGCAAGTAGTGAACGTCACTCTAGGATCCAGGTTTGCTAACTTTGGGTGAGAATGAGAAGACCTGTGGTATCTTGTTCTACTGTAATGTACATGGTTAAGTTTGGGGGAGTTAACTGTTAAATACATGGATTTTTTATTGTATGGGAGGGGGTTAGTACCCCTAACCCCTGCGTTGTTCAAGGGTCAGTGCTCATGTGTGCTCTCACTTTCTCTGTCTCCCTCTTCTCCCTCCCTCACCCTCTCCCTCTCTTTCTCTCTCTCTCTCTCTCTGTATATATATCAGAATTCTGCAGAAATAACTCCTCTTTGCTTCTTGTTTACATGTATTTTGCATTAAATGTATACGTAAACAAAAATAAGATCACTTTCTCTGTTCACATAATATGTCATGAAAACATGTCATTCCAGCTTATTCTTTTTAAGGTATTCCATTGTTCTAGTTGCTGGAATTTATTTGATCACTTGCTTATTCATAAATGTTGAGGTTTCTTGCCTTTATTTCCTCCTTCCTATAACAAGCATAACTGCATCAACTACTCTTGCATAAATCTTTGTCTCTTTCTCTTAGTATTTCTGTGGATATGTTACAAGAACTGGAATTTAATCACTGGTTAGAATGTCTACATAGTTAAAGAGATTCATGGCTATTCTGAGAATGTCTGGGCAGGTGGTTTTTGTTTTTACTTTTTTTTTTTTTTTTTCTTTCCTGGTTTTTATTTGGATTCCAGTTAGTTAACATTCAGTGTAATATCATATTAGTTTCAGGTGTCGAATTTAGTGATTCATCACTTGCATATCGCACCCAGTGCTCCTCACAGAAAATGCCCCCCTTCTCCCCACCCCCCTAACCTCTCCAGCAACCTTCAGTTTGTTCTCTAGAATCTGTTTCTTGGTTTAACTCTCTTTTTCATACACACCCCATCCATGTTCATTTGTTTTGTTCCTTGAATTTCACATATGAGTGAAATCATATGGTATTTGTCTCTCTCTGACTTATTTTGCTTCGCATAATATTGTCTGGCTCCATCAATGTCATTGCAAATGACAAGATTTCGTTCTTTTTTATGGCCGAGTAATATTCCATTGTGTGCATGGGTATGTTTATGTAGGTGTACACACACACACACACACACACACACCCACACACCCACACACCCCACATCTTTATCCATTCACCAGTCAGTGGACATTTGGGCTCTTTCCAATATTTGGCTATTGTTGATAATGCCATAAACATTAGGGTGTGTTTTTTACTTTTTTAAACATGCTAGGAGCTCGTAAAGAGGGAGGTCACAAAGTTCTGGATGACCACAGGAGAACTTAGGACTAGAGCACAGTTTTACTTATTCGTATGTTTATAAGAACCTGTTTCTTATGTCTTTGGCACACTAGGTGTTAGCAACATTTTTAATTATTACCAATTATTCAATTTAAAAAATATCATTTGAATTTGTACTCCTGTGATTATTTTTGAGATCAGACATCTTTACACACGTATATTTTCTTTGAGGTTTTCAGTCATGTTTATTACTTATTTTGTTAAAAAAATTGAGTTTATCGCCATTTTCTTATTGAAGATCTTTTTACATGGTATGTATATTAAACCTTTATCTACCATAAGGTTGGAAATATATTTCTAGTGTTCTCTTGTCTCTCAAGTTTTATAATGTTTTCTCTTCAAATATTGTAGTCCCTTTCTTTTTTCTGGCTTTGATGTCATGCTTTAAACAAAAGTCTTCATTATCCCTAGAATTAAAAACCATTTGCCCATTATTTTCTTGTGTATTTGTTTTATATTTAAGTCCTCAGTTACATCTCGATATCTTGTTTTGTGAGGCAGGTATACAATTTTTTTTTATTCTATACAAATAGCGTTTCCAAAAGCAGCATAACAACACAAGTTTGACTAATTCATCCTTTCCACTCTGATTTGAAATGCCACCTTTATCATACTTTATTCCTATAGATGTTCATGGATTTGTTTCAGACTCTTCTATTCCCTTGCTCTGTCAAAATTGATTTTTAAAAAATTATTATTGTTTTTAGTAATCACTATGCCCGACATGGAGCTTGAACTCACGAACGACCCTGAGATTAAGAGTCGCATGCTCTTCCAACTTAGCCCAGCCGGGCGCCCCTCAAAATTGATTTCTTTATTGTAAAACATTTCTCAAAGCCTTTAGTGATATATCTTAGGGATCCTCAAGGGTTGCAGAGTATACAGTGTTTCCCATTTTCTGTTTAACCACCTTATCATTTGCTGTGGACAGCAATTACAGTGTCCCAGGTAAATAGTCCAAGGAGCACAGGTTTGACAGACTTTGTCCCTGGCTCTTGCAGTTGTCTTCTAACTCTTTTCCTTGCCTCCAAGTCTCCCTGCAGTATGCCTGTAGCTCTGTTGTAAAAATGGTCTTCCTCATGCCCAGGTTGGAAAGATTTTCTTGCATTACTAAAGCACCCATTGTTCCTCATTTGTTGAGAATGGAGTCTATATTTCTTTAAAGCCTACTAACACCTGACCCCATTCTATCCTTTGTTTGAGGCTTACCTGGTCCTAGCAACCTGAACCTCCTTTTCTTACTCTCTTTCTTCTCTTGGAAGTGCTCAGTGCTGCTTGTTGAAATCCATTTGCTTATCTTCTAAAAGATACATGACTCGTCTCCATCAGGGCCCTGGCAGTCTCAGTAGAGCCATCTTCTCCAAGTGCTGCTTTGAAGTATTGACCAGCAGCTGCAGAGCAAGTCCCTGGGATGTGAGCGGCCTCCCCATCCTGTCCTCCTCACACGTCACCCTGGGAGAGTGGGTTGAGAGAGCCCAGCAGCTCCGGGATATCAGCTTGGTGCTTTGGACCAACATGGCTGTGCCTTCAGTCGCAGAGTTCAGGTATTCTCGCCCCCTGGGTAGACTATAAAGCTCCATCTTTTCTATAGAGTGTGTAGAGAGAACCTCAGTCTGTCTGAACTTCATCTGTAGTGGCTAGTTTTGGTGGGTGAAAGCAAGTGTATTTTTTGGCTGGATCAGCAGATTTTTAGCCCATTACAGGCTATCATAAGCTGGGCAGTGCCTCTGTCACTTTTAATCTTCTTGTGATCAAGAGAGTGGTACTTAGAAAAGCATATAAGATTACTTGAGAAGAGAAATTCACCTCTAAGTATTGGCAGTGCAGTCTGCTGTGTCATTTTCTAAAAGAATGATAGTGTGAGAAAGGAATGCCGTTTGATGTAGTGCAAGCCCTTAAGTGCCTCCTTGTTCCTACAGATACACAGATTCCCAGCTCCAGAGACTTGTGCTGTGCCGGCACTTGGCGGGTTTGGCAGAGCTGCTCCCTGAATCCCAGCAGCAGGAATACATGCAAAACTGTGAGCAGCTGCTGCTCGGGGACAAGCAGACCTTCCAGCATGTGGGCCAGACTCTTGGGGACATGGCTGGGCAGGAGGCCCTGCCCAAAGAGCTGCTATGCCTCTTGCTTACCTCCCTGCGCCACTTGTTTGGGGAAGGGGATGGTAAGCGGGACCTGCCCGAGCCAGCACGGCGTGGGAGCCTGTGGGTGAGCCTTGGCTTGCTCCAGATTCAGACATGGCTTCCGCAGGCCCGCTTTGACCCCGCAGTGAAGAGGGAATACAAGCTCAAGTACGCTAAGGAAGAGGTATGGAGGGATGAGAGTTTGGAGCATGGGCTCCATCCCTGACTGGGTGGACTTGCTTAGTATATTACTCCTTTTATTCCCTTTTGGATGCTCAGAACATCAACGGGATGATTTTGCATAAGCTGCCCTATGACTTCCCGGGAGTGTGTTCTAAAGACTACATTTTCCTCTTTGAGAATTCCTCTAAGTAAGCTTAGGCATTTGGAGTGGCCCTTCCTAAGCCTCTGATGTATCTCTCCTGTCCAGACTCCCTCTACCTGAACTAAGTTTTGAATATTTGGACTTGGATAATTTCTTTAGATGTGGTATAGTATTCCTCAGGTTTTGAACTTTTGGTGTTCCTTATCTAAAGTTCAAGGATCAAGTAGATTTAGATTATGTGGTATCCCTTGATATTTGAACTTGTAAGCAAATTCAGGAACTGAATACATAAAGATAGTGATAAGATTTTTCTTCTTCAAAATATGGAAGTAGTATATGAGTTGGTAAAACTGTAAGAGCAGAGTCTCATAAATTCAGTGGTATAAACAAGATAGTTTCCTTCACCTAACAGCTCTGAGATGAAGTGGTCCAAGTTAATGGAACAGAATCCCTTGCTCTTGGATCATTCAGGAGCCCAGGTTCCTTCTATCCAGTTGCTCTACCCTTCCCCAGGGCACTGTCCTCTTGGATGTGGGCACAGCTGAGCACAGCAGACCAGCTTCTTCCCTTTCTATTAGTTACACCAGCTGCAGTGTGAGTGGAAGACCCGAAACCTCTCATCCCAGCTACACACTGGAAGAGACCTGGAAGATGAAGTCATTCTCAGTTACTGTCATCCTCACATCAGGTAACAGCAGAGTTATTGTGTTGATGGTTTATTGACTCTTAAAAAAAAAAAAATTTTTTTTTTTTTTGAGGTTGACCTTCACAGTGTAATTGCAGTGTTTGAGGTGATGATACAGATCTCTGAACTACATTGGCGATTAGATGCTAAAGCCATTGTTACTGTCAGGAAAAGTTAATACTCTGAAAGGAAGGGCAGATTCTCATGAGGCCAGGAGGGTTGAAACCAGAATTTATTCTCAACATGACAGAAGTTAGATGTGATAATGTGCACTGTGTGCGTTTGTTGTCTTAGTAAATATTGTATAATGTAGCAGGTCTGAGCTCCAGTCCTGTCCCTGTCCTTTGGCTTTAGACTTTGAAGAGATCACTTAATGTCTTTAAGCCTAAGAGGTCTGGGGTGCCTGAATGGCTCAGTCAGTTAAGCATCTTACTTCAGCTCAGGTCATGATCTCTCTGTTGGTGGGTTCAAGCCCCGCGTCGGGCTCTGTGCTGACAGCTCAGAGCCTGAAGCCTGCTTTGGATTCTGTATCTCCCTCTCTCTCTGCCCCTCCCCCACTCACACTCTGTCTCTCTGTATCTCTTGAAGATAAATAAATGTTAAAAAAAAAAAGCCTAAGAGGTCTGTAAGAGTAGGGTAATACAACTACTTCAGTGAGTAGTAACACCATGTGAGGCATGTGATAAATGCTTTTTGTATATTCTCCATTTACATTATAATTGTCAGTATTTTCTTCATGTTATTCCTTAGAAGCTGATACGTCTTCATTCTGTTTTCCTAGCTAAGGGCTGAGTCTCTGACAGAATTTGCATATTGTGATAATTTGCCTTTAGATTACTTCGCCAAAGAATAGATCATCTGGAGAACTTAATCTGCAGCCTGTCGAAGAAGCAGGCCTTCAGACCCCAGGTGCCTGCCTATGAGTCATTGGTGCAGGAAATCCACCACTATGTCACCAGCATTGCCAAGGCCCCTGCTGTTCAGGATCTGCTCACACGGCTCCTGCAGGCTCTCCACATGGATGGGCCTCGGTCTGCCCAGGTGGCCCAAAATCTTCTGAAGGAGGAGGCTTCCTGGCAGCAGTCACACCACCAGTTCAGGAAGCGGTTGGCCGAGGAGTATGCCCTCTATCCAGATTCTGTGGCCCCACTGCAGGCATCCATCTTGCAGTTGCAGCATGGCATGAGGCTGGTGGCATCTGAGGTCTACGCTTCATTCCATGGCAGTGTGGTCTGTGCAGACAGGCTGGGTGCCCTGGCCACATCCCTGTTGGCTTTTCCATCGGTGGGTCCCACCTTCCCCACTTACTATGCTCATGCAGACGCCTTATGCTCAGTGAAGTCAGAGGAGGTTCTTCGAGGCCTTGGGAAGTTGATCCTCAAGCGCTCAGGAGGAAAGGAGCTGGAAGGCAAGGGCCAGAGACCTTGTCCTACCCGAGAGCAGCTGCTGATGAATGCCCTCCTTTACCTGCGTTCCCATGTGCTGTGCAAGGGAGAGCTGGACCATAGGGCCCTGCAGCTCTTCAGACACGTGTGCCAGGTAAGCCTATTTCTAGGGGGCAGCACTGACCTTCTCCTAAAGGGAGCTGGAGGACACTGGCAGTACCCTGTGTAGATAGAGACCATGTGGTTGGGCAGTGGGATCTGGTGTCTGTTCCTTTCTTTCTCCTATTCAGCCATTAGTTTTGGGGGTATTTGTCCCTCAATTTTTAAGACATTAGAAAAAAATAGTGATATTAGCTCTTTATCTGTGATACACACTGGAAATATTTTCTCCTATTTTGTTGTCTTTTGATTTTATTTATGGTGAGTTTTGCCATGTAATAGTATCAACCTTTATTAAGAAAATAACTTTTTTCCCCCAACGAAAGCAATTTGTTTTTAACTTATACAATTAAAAAAATAAATATAAACAAAACCCACTAAATTTTACCATTTAAAGCTGTATAAACTGTTAACATATTGGTGCATCCCATTCTAGGCTTGTTTTTTTTTTAAGTTTATTTTGAGAGAGAGAGAGTATGTGTTTGCTTGTGTGTGAGTGGGGTCTGTGGGGGGAGGGGCAGCAGGGGGGAGCAGAGAAAAAGGGAGAGAGAGAATCCCAAGCAGGCTCCATGCTGTCAGTGCAGAGCCCATCTTGGGGCTTGATCTCATGAACCATGAGATCATGACCTGAGCCAAAATCAAAAGTTGAATGCCACCCGGGTGCCCCTTTAGCAGTAGAACTCTTTTAAAAATAAAAATCTTAGAATAGTTTCCCAATATGTAGTAGATAAAAGAGCTGCTTTAGTTGAGAACAATTCTGTTCCCTCCCTGGTCTCTGAGACTGGTCCTTAAATCACTAGAGTTCTGTAAACCACTACTAAAGTTCATTCTGTTTTATACTTTGCTTTAAAAAACCTAACAGCATTTAGTGATTATTTTCTTCCATAATTATGCTATTCTTCAGCTGCATCATGTTGAATGGCTGCCCAGTTTTCTATTGTATGGATACGCTCGAAGATACTTAAATAATTTCTTATCATTGAACATTTGTTTTGTATGTAGTCTTTTTATTGTCTTGGAAAACACCAGCATTACCATAAATAGTCTTATACCTAGGTCTTTGGGTACAAATTCTGGAAAGCAGAATTGCTTAGGTTTTTAACACAAATTATCTTCCTGATTGATGGGTGCTCATTTCCTCAGTTCTCATCAATACTGCATGGTTTCTTTAACTTAACAGTTTTTGCCAACTTAAGGATCTAAAATCTTAGAGGTACTGGGGAATTTAAGAAGTGTCTGATAAGGCATAGCCCAGTTTTCCTGATGGTTCCCCTCAACCACCTTGCCCCCAGCCCAGGTTTCCCTTTCCCAAACCCTTGGGCCAGCTGCTTGAGTTGTTAGCCAAGTATAGTCTGAATTACAACCCCCACATTGTCTATGCAGAGCCTGTCCTTAGTACAAAACACTACTAGCTCCTGACAGGAACTTCCAATGGCATTAGCTGTACTGTAGCAAGTTTTTACACCTGTGAAATTGTAGCACTACAGTAAGGGGGTGCTTTGGAAAATGGGTTGCTGCAGATACACAGTTTGAAAACAAAGTTCATTTCCTCTCTATACCTAAAATGTAGTTTCTTGGATGTGGACATTTACTTCTTTTTGAACCATAGTACTTTTATTTTCATGAGAAATTAAAAGATAGCCAATCTTGGGGCATCTGCGTGGCTCAGTTGGTTGAGTGTCTGACTCTTGATTTCAGCTCAGGTCATGATCCCAGAGTCATGCATCAGGCTCCGAGCTGAGTGTGGAGCCTGCTTGGGATACTCTCCCTCTACACCCTCTCCTCACCCCCTCACCCCCCACCCCTGTCTCTCTTAAACAAAACAAAACAAAACAAAACAAAACAAACCAACAACAGATAGCAAGTCTTACTTTGTTTAAGTACTTCAGCAAAAGCAAATAAATTACTTTCTAATATTGTGACTTTTCAGGAAATTATCAATGAGTGGGATGAACAGGAACGCATAGCCCAAGAGAAGGCTGAGCAGGAAAACAGCTTGTACAGATACAGGAGCAGGAACTCCAGGACTGCCCTGAGTGAGGAGGAGGAGGAAGAGCGGGAGTTCAGAAAGCAGTTCCCACTGCATGAAAAGGTCGGGTGGTGGTAACAGGGTTTGTTTGGGAATGAATTCCCTTGATGCCACCCGTGTTACCTTTGAATGGTTTTATAATCAGTCTTTTTACTATATTTATATGTAAGTCACTACTTCATTTTCTTGAGTGTTCACACAACATCTTTCCTCCTTCCTTTTTGAGTAGAACTGGATTCTGATTTTTAGAAGTTCAATTGCTCTAATGTTATTGGCAGGATTTTGCAGATATTTTGGTAGAACCAACACTGGAAGAGAAGAAGGGAACTTCAGATGGGCAAGAAGAGGGAGCAGCTTCAGACCCTGGCCTCCTCTCCCAGAGCTCAATGCAGGCTGTGATGCTCATTCATCAGCAGCTGTGCCTCAGCTTTGCTCGGTCCCTCTGGTACCAACAGACTTTGCCACCACATGAGACAAAGCATTACCTTGGCCTGTTTCTATCCTGCTATCAAACTGGGGCATCTCTTGTGACACAGTTCTACCCTCTGATGGGTATGACAATTTATTTTTGTTATACTCTTGGGAAACGAGGACAAATAAATGTAATTACTACTTAGGGAACAATTAAAGTCATCACCTCCCTGTTTTTTTGCTAAATTCCTTATCGAGGGAGTTTCCTTAGCTTAAGAGACTCCAGCTACTTCAAAAAACTTGATTTAAAATTCTGCAGTAAGGGATTTTTATCATTTGAATACTTTGGGAGGAAGGGATTTAAAAAACAAGGATATGGACTTAGTTTAAATAGTTTTGTTCCTCAGTATTATTTCTAATTTGCCTGTAATAGCTTTAGTGCTTTTCCCATCATTTATTATTGGGAGAAACCTGGGAACTCAGAAATTAAGCTTACGGAATATTGTTTGGTTCAGTTTCCTGTATGACCTCATTAGTTACTCCTTGATATTAGGCAGGAAGCTTTAATTTTCATTTCTGTCTACCAAGACAGCTATAAAAGCCAGGAATTTGAATCCATCAAACCAGACTCTGTACTCTTTTAATAACAACCAGGCAGTGTCTGTGTTCCTCTGTATGTCTGAGAAACTTGGCAGATTTTGGTGATACTACTATGATACTAGGGTCCTGCTCCTCTAGGCTTATGTTGCTTTGGGCATGATTGGCACTGTGACGTAATCTGCTTCATTAGTTCTAGTAGTTATTGTTTCTGAGCATGTGTTTGACATCTTTGTAACCTGATGGCTCAACCTACTAAGTGCACTGACTGTACTGATGTTAACTTCACAGGAGCTGAACTGAATGACCAACTCCTGGGCAGCCAACTTTTGGCCTTTACCCTCTCCCATAACACTCTCTTTGGTGAGGCAGCCTCAGATCTGATAGTGAAGCCTGATGGGCCCTATGACTTCTACCAGCACCCCAATGTCCCAGAAGCAAGGCATTGTCAACCTGTGCTTCAGGGTTTCTCAGAGGCTGTCAGTCAGCTGCTGCAGGATTGGCCGGAACACCCAGCCCTTGAGCAGGTAGGGCAGCCTGTGAGGAGGGAACACTGAGGGTGTGGTCTCTGCCATCTCCCAGGGCAGTCATGTGCACATTTCAGTATATAAACAAAGGTTTACAGAATCCCACTTGAGTGAGACACTACTCACTTCAGGATGGACATACCAGTTTGTACTGCTGTTACATAAATGATGTTTGGGATTCTGCTAATTTTACTTGTTGGTCAGAGTTTGCTGTCGACATGATAAAATGCTGCTGTATTATTGCCCTCTTTATTCAGACACATACGCACATTAGCAAAGGCCTGGCTTTTTCAAGATTGGCAGTTTTAACACAGACCTCACTCTGGTCTTCAACCAGTTTTTTAGTAACTCTTAACAGCGGAGAGTGGTTAAGAGTTATTATTTTGGGGGCATCTGGCTGGTTCAGTTGAGAGAGAATGTGACTCTTGATTTCAGGGTCATGAGTTCAAGCCCCACATTGGCTGTAGAGATTACTAAAAAAATAAGTAAACAAACTTTAAAAAAAGAAAAAAAAAAGAGTATCATATCAAAGTCCATCTTCTTTCCAGAGTAATGCAGCAGATAAAGTGTTTATCTTTGATCCACAGCCCTAGAAAGCCTCTGTGGCTTTCACAGGGGCTTGTGAAGTAGAGACTTTGCATAAAACTTTCATCAGGCCTCTTTTCAGTGGCCTGTGACTTTGAGTGACTGTATTCCCACAGAGATGCCTAGATCTTTTCTTCATTTTCTTTTTCTTTCCTGCAGCTGCTGGTTGTAATAGACAGAATTCGTAGTTTCCCACTTTCCAGTCCTATCTCAAAGTTGCTGAATGGCTTAGAGATCCTTCTAGCAAAGGCACAGGTAAGATAATTCTCTCTCTCTCTTCCTCATTTTAGTTTGTAATCAATTGAAAAAAATGATCTTGGGGCAACATTATTGCCAGAGGGACAGAAAGTTATAGTTTGGGTTGGAGAAGAATAAGCCTCTTTGTTTTTCTGGCATGGGGTCAGATCATTACAGGTGAAGCCATTATCTTCTGGGGCACGTGAGGGGCCTGTGTCACCTGTTTTCGAGGGTAGGACACAGCATCCACTGGTACTGCAGTCTCCCTCTTCCAGGGCTCCCAGGTGGGCCTCCAGACCAGCTATGTGCCTGCACGTCCCATCCCCTCAGTCCTTTCACAGCCTCTGAACTATCTGGTGCTTCCCTGACGATCACGTTAGGGCTCTGCACTTCGGAGGGGGTCACGTGTCTAGCAATAGGCATTCACACTCAGGTTCCCAAATCCTTTACTTTTTGCCTGCCTCTAAACTCAGCTCTGCTTGATTCTGTCAGGTGACTAGAAACAACTTGAAGCTAGATACACTGGATGTACACTCATTGCTATTGATAAATCAGCACAAGAGTTATTTAAGAGCCCAGCAGTAAATTTTATCTTTGTTTTTTAGGATTGGGAGGAGAATGCAAGTCGAGCTCTGTCTCTGCGGAAACATCTCGATTTAGTCAGTCAGACGATCATTCGTTGGCGTAAACTGGAACTGAAGTAAGTGATAATCTGTCACTTCCCTTCCCCTCCTGAACTTGTGCTGTAGGGACATTCATCTTTTGATAGTTTGCTTCTGCAGGGTTTCTGTAGTAAGATAGAGAATGTACTTTTCAGTTATTAATCACAGAGTTAAACAGCAGGGCATTAGGGGTGCCTGGCTGGCCCAGTCAGTAGAGCATCTGACTCTTGATCTCAGGGCCGTGAGTTCAAGCCCCACATTGGGCATGGAGCCTACTTAAAAAACAAATAGGGCATTTAAAATGACCTCAGTAGAGGGACACCTGGGTGGCTCAGTCAGTTAGGTGTCCAACCTCAGCTCAGGTCATGATCTCACAGCTCGTGGGTTCGAGCCCCACATCAGGCTCTGTGCTGACAGCTCATATCCTGGAGCCTGCTTCGGATTCTGTCTCTGTCTCCCCCTCTCCCACTCGCTCTCTGTCTCTCTCTCTCAAAAATAGACATTAAAAAAATAAAATAACCTCAGTAGAGACAATGGCATACATTCCTGAGGCGACAAACTAGGTAGCTTCTCCATCTCCACTTGGAAGGAGAGAATAGCGAATGTTTAGCTTTTGCTTCTGTGGTTTCACATCTTTCAAATGGGTTTCCTTAAATGCCTGCTTGGCTTCTTCTCTCATGTTTCAGCTGCTGGTCTATGAGTTTGGATAATACTATGAAGCGCCATACTGAGAAATCCACCAAGCACTGGTTCTCCATCTACCAGATGCTTGAGAAGCACATGCAGGAACAAACAGAGGAGCAGGAAGGTAACAACTGTCCATAAATTCCCTGCATATTTAGAAGTTGCAGGCTAATTGTAGAGTGCTGCAGATGTGGGATTTACCTGTTCCCTTGTCTCCTCGCACCACTCCTTTTACATGGGATGCATCATTGGACTTCATGGTGTTTCTGAGAGGTTTACGTGATTTGTTCAGAGTCTAGAGAGCTGGTCATAAGGTTTCCTTATGCTCTATATCCAAGAGACAGGCAAAAATGAAGATGTTTTTTCTTGGGTACTAGTTGACCTGCTTGAGTTAAAAGTGTTTCATTTCCTACTTAAAACAAGCACCTTATAATTCAGTTTCATAATCTGTTTTGAGTGTGTTTAATACATACCCCGAGTGAGCTGTTTTTATATCAGCTGGGAATTTACCTATGCTTCAGAGTTTCACTTTAATTATGGTCTCTCTTTTCCTGCCGTGCTCCAGTGTGTCCCATAGTAGATTGCATGCATGTTACAAATATGAAGTGATGGTTGCAGGTGCATATGTTTTCTTCTTTGAATCTTTAAAGATGATAAGCAGATGACCCTGATGTTGCTGGTCAGCACATTACAAGCATTTATAGAGGGATCCTCACTGGGAGAATTCCACGTACGGCTTCAGATGTTACTGGTTTTCCATTGTCATGTCTTGTTGATGCCTCAAGTTGAAGGAAAGGGTAAGGAGGGGTGTGTGTGTGTGTGTGTTTCTTTACTCTTACACTGTACTGTTTAAATGGGTTAGGCTTTGAATTCTTCACAAGATAGGCATCTTATTGCATACCAGGTTTTAAATGTGATGCTTTCAGTCATCTCTTACTTTGAAGTGATTCACATTAGATACAGAGAACAACATTAAAGTACAAACTGGTTATAAATGAAGCCCAAACTAATGAACTCTGCCAGAGGTAAATTGCCAAATGCAGATCTTGGGAACTGGCATGTTGAGGCTGCACATCTTTCTGTATCGACAGTGTAGGTGTCCTGCTAAGCTTCTGCTTGATCCAGGCCATAATTAGATTCTTTGATCTAGCAAGTGCTCTACTACATATCAAGTAACTGCATAGGAAACACTGTCAATTACTGTCCCTGACCACAGCTATTTGGATGAAAATGTAACTAGGACTATAGATGGTATGTGAATGAGCAGTCAGGGTGAACCTCTTAATAGGCCATCTTTTAAAACAGGTTTAGTTTCTGCTGACTTTACAATAAGATTCTAAGAAAGGGTTTGAAATTGTGTTTAGTGGAACATCTGAGTACATCACCTTTAAGAGCAACAAAATTCAGTATAAGCTGTAATGAAAAAATGGGGTAGAGGTGACAGGCTGCCTGCATCTCCGGGAATTGCTAGACTCAGACTCCCTGATAAGCTGTTAAATAACATGCCTGTGAAATGTTGTGCTGTCATCTCATGGCCTGAAGAGTAAAGAGTAAGGAGCGTCACTAAAATGTGAAGCCCACAGGTGGAGCCAGTAGCACATGCAGCAAGTGTGGTGTTTTTGTTTCCTTTTCATTTCTTCCAGATTCACTTTGCAGTGTTCTGTGGAATTTGTACCATTATTACAAGCAATTCTTTGACCGGGTCCAAGCCAAAATTGTGGAACTTCGTTCCCCCCTAGAAAAAGAACTTAAAGTAAGATGAACAGCTTTGTAATGATTACTCTTGGGAGAACAAAATCAGCAAATTCTGTTTAGTTCTTTTCTTTTATCCATTTAACTGTGAAGCAGGGGGCTCTGGGGAATGGAGGAGAGCATTGCAACTGCCAAGTAGAATGGCAAGAATTATTCTGTGGCATTGGCTCCATTGCTGACCTGTCCCAAGTGTGTGACGGGTTAGTGGAGTGGCCCGTCAAAGGCTTCTCAAGAAGATTGCCACAAACGTCTGTTAGTGTTCACCCCCCCACCCCCGCTCTTGCCCTGGCTGATTTTCCACCTCAGAGGAACGCCATCTAGTGTTGTGTGTCATCAAGGTGCCCTGGGGGAAAGGAGGGTCCTATCTTTTGATAATTCAGTGGTTGTGGAGGCAGCCCTGGTACAAGCTGAACACATATCAGGTGACATGTTGATCATAGGAGCACTCTCTTTTCATTGCTTTCTCACAAACACCTGGGTTCCCATTTTAGACTTGTTTTACTTGTTCACTGGTATACAGTCCTGTATGTGGGATGAAGTGGGCTCTGGTCTTCGGTAAACAGGTGATTTAGAAAGAAACAAAATGCTACCATTCCTCGTTCTTCATTTATCTTACAGGAATTTGTAAAAATATCCAAGTGGAATGATGTCAGCTTCTGGTCCATTAAACAATCTGTGGAAAAGACACACAGGTAATTTATCTTTTAAAAATTCAGAGTGACTAAAGGTGAGAATTTTTGTATGCTAGGTAGCAAGACTAAATTAAATTGTTCAAATGGCCTTAGTGCTGCTTTGAACTCATTATGAAGCACTAGATTGTTTGGGTGTGGCTTTTCGACAGCACCCCCTACCACCTGAAGCAAAGTCTGCCTACAAAAAGAATTGGTGTGCCTCGAGACAAAGCAGCCTAAAGCACTTCTGCTACATACTAGCTGTCTTCCCTTGAGTGAAGTGATGCCCCCATTCCTGGCTTCAGTTTTTACTTCTAGAAAAAGGAGATGACAATACCTGCCTTACTTTTCCTTAAAAAATAAACAGGATGATTATGAGTATCTAAGGGGTTCATGCGTACAGACGATAAGGTTATTAAGTTATATGTGTGTGCATTATGCCATTTTACATTTCCTCACTTTCCATCCGTCTTTTCCTCTTCATCTGTCATTACATGGGGCCAGGACCCTCTTTAAATTCATGAAGAAATTTGAAGCCATCCTGAGTGAACCCTGCCGGTCATCCTTGGTGGAGAGTGACAAGGAGGAACAGCCTGACTTTTTGTCACAGCCAGCAGCCACCAGCGAGGCATCCCCCATTCAGAGTCTGAACATGGCACTGAGGGAGACCCTGTTGGCCCGGCCAGTAGCTGCACAGGTATACCTTATGAGATGGTGTTTGCTTATTCTTGGGCCAGTCTAGTGAGGTCTGTGCTTTATGTGGAAGAATGTCCTTAGAACTGGGCAAGGCAATTCCTTTGAAATCTTGCTCTTTGGACAAATATAGCACTTGTCTGTGTGTCTGACACTGCTACCTAATAAGGCAAAAGGCATCAGTCCTAGTGCTGGAAGTTTAATGTTCGCCTACAGGAAATACTTTCTGTGCTTACCTGTGAAGATTTCATCTTCCTGTGATGGAAGACTTAAAGCATCAGTTGAGGAATATGCCATTGAAGCTGCCTTTGGGCTACCACATGATGAAGCTGCTGTATAGGTGAATGTTTGCAATGATAGGTTGATTTTAGTGGTTGCTGATGACCATGGTATAAATTCTCTGAATCATGACCAACTTCAAGCACCAACAGTTAAGAGCTGGCTTGCAGAATTCCAGAAAATGTAAGTTATGGAGACTTTGGGTGAGCAGGTCTGTTACAGAATGGGTGGTCCCGCATTATATCCTTAGATGTAAAGAGCTTTGGGATCAGAGAGCACACCTCAGGACAGTAATAGCCTTTGCCTTCCTACTGTACTTACCGTTGTGGGTCCATAGAGTAAGCAGGTCCAAGAGTAATAGCTTGGAAGTCCTCAAGCTATTTTTAGTATTTCCCAAGTACAGAAAGTGTAATAGAAATTGAGCATATAGCCATGCTGTGGTTCTACAAATATGGTGTGGGCTCCAAGTTCATTTTCTTTTGATTATATTCATCAGCTCACTGATTTCTGTCATGCTGACCAAAATTTTTGATTTGCTGTTGATGACAGCATAGGAATTTCAGAGATTCTTCGGCGGGGGGGGGGGATGAAAATATGCCCCGGTGGACGAAAGTTTTTCCCATTATCCAGTATCTGGGTTCCTCCTAATCGAATTGAAGAAAGTGGAGGGTGGAAGAGGTGGTGGTAGAAGTACGACTTGTGTGTCCAAGACAGGCAGTGCAGCACAGCACCATAAAGGCACCAGTTCTAGTACATTCCAAAGTCTAGAATGGTCACTAGCACAGGTAGTATTGCCGCAGGTGGGACGGGGTGCTTCTAAGTGATCTCACGTGGAGCAGCAGTAGGGTTCTCTAAATATCCAGGACACATCTTAATTTTGGTGATGCTGCTTTTGTTCTTGTGAGACCTCAGAGTTGGGGAGGAGAGGATTTAATACTTACTGAGCTGAGTGTGTGTAGAGGGGTAGGGCATTTAAATTTAGCACCAGTGCAGGTGAGTCCTGTTACACTCCAGTAACACTGCTGTTACTGTTCTTGGCAGTGAGACTAACCTGTGCTCTGTCTCACAGGCTGTGATTCCAGAACAGTGTCAGGGTGCTTCTTTCCCCTTGGAGGGAGAGCTGCTGTGTCGCTTGCCAAAGCTCATGAAACGAATGAGGAAGGTGTGCCTGACGCTCATGAAGGAAAGCCATCTGCCTTACCTAGTGGAGGGCCTTGATCACTTCACTGGTGAGTGCCAGTAGCCAGGGGCAAAGGGTGGGGTTTGCTCTGTTTTCTCTAGTGCCCCCAAGAGCGTGGGAATTTGCTACCTATGTCCTTTTTTTGACCTCATCAGTAGTGTTGAGCGGTTAATTGAATAAACAAGTGGGCTAAAAAACAGAGCCCAGTCGCAGAAACCAGCAGAGACCACACAAGCTGTTATAATTTTCACCTTGTCCATCTTGTCCATAGCTAATGCTATGTTATGCCATTTTCTGCAGTAGCCTTGTCTATATCAGCTCTCTTTGGTTGGGGGCGTGAATAAAGAGGTACAGAGACAAGTTTCTCAGAGTCTGGAAGCTGTTCCTACCTCTCCAAATATTGTCTCCCTTGAGTTAAAGGAGAAGGAAGATTCACTCACTGTCCTTTTCTTGCTTTCTTCACTGTGGAGAGATGTAGCAGTTTCATCTGCTGGTCGTCCTTGCACAGGGAAGTTGAGAGCCGAGATTTGCTCTGTAGTATAACAGCCGTGGCTGGGGAAGGGATTCCAGAACTTAATAGATTGAGGTCTTGTCATCCTCCAGCACTGTCTGCACCCCTAATCACCCCCCATGAGTATGGTGTCAGAGTGAAACTGGTCCTTCTTCAATGAGGCTACAATGTGATCTCAGGGAGCTCTTTATTTTTAAAACTTGTTAGGGGGTGCCTGGGTGGTTCAGTTGGTTAAGCATCTGACTCTTGATTTCAGCTCAGGTTATGATTTCACAGTGTGTGGGATCGAGCCCCAAGCTAGGCTCTGAGCTGACAGTGTGGAGCCTGCTTGGGATTCTCTCTCACCCCCTCTTTTTGCCCCTCCCCTGCTTGTGCACATATGCATGTGTGCACTCCATATCTCTTTCTCTCTCTCCCTCTCTGTCTCAAAAAAATAAACATTAAAAAAAAAAACTTGTTAGAACAATAGCCTATTATATATATCCATTGCTAAAGATGATCTGCCTACCTGATCCTGATGATCGAAATGAATGGGATACAGGTCCCATGTGCATCTTCTGGAAAGGGTACCCAGTCTGTGATGCAAAGAATTCTCTGACTTTCCTACAATGTCCGTATAATGGTGTCCACTACACTTGCTTTCTTCTGGAAGACTAGAATGTCCGTGTTAGTTTGTTAGAGCTACCTTAAAGTATCACATATAGGGTGGCTTAAACAAGAAAAGTTAAGTTTTCTAAACAGTTCTGGAAGTTAAACATATGAAATCAAAGTATTTGCAGGTTTGGTTTCTTCTCAGGTCTGTCCCCTTGGCTGCTCTGTTTCACCTTTGTGTTTTCACATGTTCTCCCATGTCCTACTCTTCTGTTAAGAACATCAGTCAGGTTGGATTAGGGCCCACCCATGTTGCCTCACCTTACCTTAATTACCTCTTTAAAGGTCTTATCTCCAAATACACTCATAATCTGAGGCACTGGGGGTTAGGACTCTAACATGAATTTTGGGGGACACAGTCCATAACACTCCCTGTGGCAGGCAGGCAGCAGCCTCATGTTACAGCCACCCATGGGTATTCAGCAAGCCAGTGTGGTGCTGGAGAAAGAATTTGGGTTTCAGAGTCAGTTTGGCCAGGGTTTGTGTCCTGTCTTCTAGTCACTCTTTAGCTGAATGAACTTTAGTAAGTGACTAGACCTTTCTGAGCCTCTCCAAACAGCTGTAAATCAGTGCTCCTGGAGTTGTACAGAGTAAGGGAACATCAACCACGAACCAGGTACAGGATAGGACCTCAGGATGTATCCTATTTATGGGAAATATATGATTTAAATTCTTACTATAAATTGCTGCACATAGTGTTCAACAAGTGCTTTTTTGCCTATTTTTAAACCCCATAAATTAAGAAAAGAAAAACTACTTTTATTTGGTTTGTTTGTTGTCAAGGGGGATGAATTCCATGAGTATTTTCTATTTCCGTGCACCTTTAATTTAGAATTTACCAAATGCTAAGGACTGTGCTAGTTATCAGAGCTGTAAAGATGAGTGTCACCTGGTTCTCATGTCCCACGATGTCCTGGGTCTGAGTAGTTTAACATGTTAATTAGACTGTGGGATTTCGGTATTTCCTCCTTGTTATTTCCTTAGGTGAAGTGATTTCCTCTGTGAGTGAGCTGCAGAGCTTGAAGGTGGAGCCCTCTGCAGAGAAGGAGAAGCAGCGGTCAGAAGCCAAGCATATTCTCCTGCGGAAGCAGCGAGCTTTAGCAGACCTCTTTCAACACCTTGCCAAAACTGGTATGGTTCTCATTTGAAACCTGATGAAGAATGATCACCAGCTCTTAGGGAGGAAAACAATGTGGGTGATGTGGGGGGAATTTCTAGAGACGATTGGGGTGGTGGAAAGCAGGAGGCAGTAGGCAAGGTTTTGAAATGCCATTCTGAGAGTTCAGTCACACATATGAAATCCATGTGATGAACCAACCATTTGTGAGTCCCAAATATTTTCACAGTTTTGTAACGAAGGTTCTCAGAAACCATGCTTTGTTTTCATCACCATATGTTGTATGGCACCCACCCTTCCAATGTAGCTTAGAGAGCAAATTCTCAAACTTTAATGTATGTTCCAATGACTCAGGGAATCTTGTTAAATGCAGGGGTTCTGTTGTAGTAGGGGTAGGGCAGGGCCTGTCAGCCTGAGTTCTAACAAGCTCCTGGGTGGTGCTATTCCAAGGACTTTAGAGTCACAGTGGCAGTGGGATGGGGTGGGGCATAGCACAGTAATTCTCTTCTGAGTTCCTTTACTTAAATGCATGCTATTTACTTCCTAGGTTTGTCATATCGCAAAGGTCTTGCCTGGGCCCGTTCAAAAAACCCTCAAGAGATGCTTCATCTTCACCCGTTAGATCTCCGGAGTGCATTGTCTGTAGTCAGCAGCACTCAGGCTGATTCTAGGTTTGTTTTTTAAATTATAAATGGAGCAAGTCATTTAAGCTTCATGTCTTCATTTGCCAAAATGGGGATAGAATACCTCTCTCCTAGCATTGCTGTAAAGATAACATTTTAAAAAGTGCCTGGCTCTGGCTCTGCATCTGGCACGTGGTGAGCATTCAGTAAGAGACTTTTTTTTTCTTTTTTCTTTTTCTTTCTCCTTGTATTCACCTCTCCCGTTATTTTTTTGGTCCTCTGATTTTCCTGAGGTCTCCTCACTTGGTTTGAATTCACAGGCGAAAATCTGTGAGAGTGAGAGAATGGCCACATTTTTAGCTATTTCATATATAAATTCTTTATAATTTCTAATGTATTCTTCAATTTGAGAACCTATAAATTTTGAGACAGAGTTACCTCTGTGTTCATAACTGTGGCAGAAGTGGTTGTAAATAGATGATTTGCATGAGCTGGGTACACATACATTTGTATTTTGTTTGCTCAGTGGCCCTCTGAGTGCTTTAAAGTTTAATTCAACACAGCATTATAAAAAGTAGAAATTTTATTTTTAAGATTTATTTAAGTAATCTCTACACCCATCGTGGGACTCAAACTCACAACTCTGAGATCAAGAGTCACATGCTCTTCTGACTGAGCCAGCCAGGCATCCCCAAAGTAGAAATTTTACATAAATAAATAAATATCCTGAATTTCAGTTTTTCAGGAAGATTGGGCCAATTGGATTTGCTTTCCTGTGAGAAAGTTAAACTGTAGCTCCCTCCTTTGGACAGGACACATGCTCTCCAGATCACTACAGTCTGCAAACAGTCCTGTTGCTTTTCCCACATTGAGGTCAGCTGTCATTGCCATGTATCATTTTGTGCTTGTCTGTCCTTAATCATTTATGTTAACTGCTTGGCCCCCGTGGGCATCAGAATTTATGACCTTTAGCTTCCACTCCTAAGATAGTTATAAAGTTTTCATTAAGGAAACTATATTGTCATCATAATTTATTTTCTCTCTATACTTCCATTGTTAAGTATGTAATACATTCTTTGCATAAAGGACTAATGAGCACCTGACTGAGACCTCACAGAAATGAATCTATTCGCACCCTTAGCTTTTGGTTGTGACTAAATAATACCAATCTCTGAGTCTTCAGGATCTTTGATGGGAAATAGTGGTTTTAATTAAGTATATCATGTTGATTTCTAGGCTGCTGACAGAAATCTCCTCTTCATGGGATGGATGCCAGAAGTACTTCTTTCGCTCTCTTGCACGGCACGCCAGGCTTAGTGCAGCCTTAGCAGCTCCTGCCAAGGTAGGTGAAAGAACCTCAGAATTGCCGGGGCCCAGGGAAAGCTCCTATTTTGTTCCTCCAGGGCAGCACTCTCAGGTCTTACCAAGTGATCAGAGCCCATTACAGAATGTGACTGAGCTTTTTGCAGAACATTAAACTTAACAGTATAAATCAGTGTAATTTTGTGCTTAATCAGAAAGCATTTTATCATAAATTCTATTACTTACGTTTGCCAACAAGACCAAATGCATAAGAAAAGTTATGTAAGGGGTGCCTGGGTAGCTCAGTCGATTGAGCATCTGACTTCGGCTGGAGTCATGATTTCAGGGTTTGTTAGTTCGAGCCCGTCGTGGGCTCACTGCTGTCAGCATAGAGCCTGCTTCGGATCCTCTGTCTTCCTCTCTCTCTCTCTCTCTCTCTCTCTCTCTCTGCCCCTTCCCCACATGCGCTCATGCACACACACACTCTCTCTCAAAAATAAATAAAACATTTAGAAAAGAGGTTATATAAGAAAAGCTTCATGTGGAGAATGCCATCTTCAGATAGTTTTCCTCTTGTGAATTGAGAAAAGACCACTAATTTTGATGTTAAACTAGTTCTTTTTTTGTTTTGTTTTGTTTTAGTTTATTTATTTACTTAGAGCGAGCTGGGGAGCAGCGGAGAGAAGGGGAGAGAGAGAGACACAGAGAGAGAATATCCCAACTAGGCTCCACACTGCCAGCGTGGAGCCCGATGCAGGGCTCGAACTCACAAACTGTGAGACTAATGACCTGAGCCAAAATCTAGAGTCAGATGTTTAACCAGCTGAACCACTCAGGTGTCTCAGTGTTAAATCTAGTTCCTATTCATGGAACATCAGTGATTTGTGGAAGCACAATTTGAGAAGCACTGCTTAGAAAGATGAATGTGTTGCCTCTAGACTGCAGCATATCCAAAGCTTATCCAATTAAAAGGCACTTTCCCCAGCGAGTTTTGGATGAAACTGCTTTCTGGTGACACCTGCGTGTGTGGTGATGTTTGCCAGTAATTCCTTTGGCATGTTTCCATTTCCCCTTTGCAGGAGTTGGGCATGAGCAACGTCGAGCGATGCAAAGGGTTCTCGGCACATCTGATGAAGGTGCTTATCCAACAGCGGCGCTCCCTGACCACGCTGACTGAGCAGTGGATCCTCCTCAGGTATTCACGAACTAGTTAGTTGGGTTTGTGGCATGAATTAGGAACAATTGTGTGAGTCTGCTCTCAATTTGGAAATGAACTTTTGAGACCCAGAGAAGCAGATGGGGTTTCTCTTAGCTCTTCCCCTTGCTTTTGGTGATGTGCTTCTGCCCTGTGGTTGTGGCAGCACCTCTTGGGAGAATGGGCCCTGGGAGATGAGTTCGGGGGCTGAATTAGATACAATTGCCATGGCTGAAATACACCTTGGTCTGGAGAGAGGGGGTTTGTGGTTGACAGTCCATCAGATTGCGTGACAGGATTGTATGTATGGTATTGTAGCATCTGTCTCTGGGCATAGATTAGATTTGAGACTGCTTCAGTTCATGGGGGGTTTTGGACCACAGAGTTGCAATTTGCTGAGCCATGCATGGACGTTCCTCAGTGGAATTAAATATTTAAAAGACAAGGACAGTTAGGAAGCCTGTCATCATTTTTTGAATGGATTCTTGGTTGAGAGGTAGTATTTCCAGATTGTAATCACTTTGGCTGCAACCATTTTCTGTTGTACGAATAAGGGTTTATCTAACAAAGTATACCACGTTTACTAGATTTTTTTTTTTTTTTTAAGTAATGGTTGAAATCACTGCAGTGATTTGACTGTTAGATGGGAAAAAGTTGTAAGGGGGTAGGTGATAAGCAGTGAGTTTTGACACTTGTGTAAGACTGAAGACACTTGCTTTCGGTCTTCAGAAGGTTGTGTTTAAGTATTTCAAAGGGCGTTATAACAGTCTTAACTATGGGGGTTCTCTCCTTGATTATGTGAAAAAGCCCATACTTTGTTCAGAAACAAATGAAGTTATTGTTAAAAACAACATGGCAATGCAGTTTAAGGTGACACATGATTTCTCCATGGGTTTCTCTGCACAGGAACCTCCTTGGCTGTGTTCAGGAGATTCATGGCAGGCTGACTGAGCCGCTGGTCTACCCGGTGGCCTTCCCCCCTCAGGATGGTGTGCAGCAGTGGACAGAAAGGCTGCAGCATCTGGCCATGCAGAGCCAGATCCTGCTTGAGCAGCTCTCCTTGCTCCTCCAGTGCTGCCCCAGTGCAGGGCCAACTCCAGGCCACAGTGGTGCCCAGGTACAGGGTCAGCCTTCTGCCCCCTACCCAGAAGGACCAGAGCTCACCAACGGCCAGCTTTCTGGAGCCATACAGGACCTCATCCAATCAGAATTGAGTTGCCCATCCCCACTACCTCGAAATCAGCTGCCCTCTGGTTGCTGGATGCGGAAACAGGACGAGCTTTGGCAACAGTCAACTGCAAGATTAACAGAGATGCTGAAAACCATTAAAACAGTGAAAGCTGATGTTGACAAAATCAGGCAGCAGTCTTGTGAGACTCTCTTTCATTCTTGGTGAGTATGGCTATGTCTGTACTGTCCCTCTTTGTGCTTGGGTGCTTGCTCAGAGTTTAGTAAGGGGATAAAATGATGAAAGGTTATTTTATTTCAATTCTGTTTTTCTGTGGACCTTCATAGTGCTTTGTAGCGTATGTCTAGCTGTTACTCTTGAGGTACAGTGAATTCTCCCCTGCTCACATTTTAGTGGATGGAAGGAGCGGGGTGGGTGTGCGTGTGTTTATGGTAGCCCCTTCTTCTCAACATTGTTGAATTTTTGTTGTTGCAGGAAAGATTTTGAAGTTTGTTCTTCTGGGCTGAGTTGCCTGTCCCAGGTGTCAGTTCATTTGCAAGGACTAGAGTCCTTGTTCATTATTCCCAGGATACAAGTTGAGCAAACAGACCAACAAATGGCATTAGTTGAGAGCCTGGACTATTTAAGAGGAGAAATCAATAAAGCCACAGATGACTTTACTTCCTGGAAGACACATCTACTTGCTTCAGGAAGCCAAAGTGGTAAGACTGTCTGTCACTCAGTAAGGGAGTCAAAGCCTGGTGTAGGAGTGATGTCTTACAGATTTAAATCTAGACTATCCTAAAGACACATTATGTTTTGTTCCAGACATATCTGTCCAGGGTTCTAAGGCAGATAGGTGTGGTTGGAACCCCTAGCTCTTAACTCTTTCTGCCTCATTTCTCTTTTTTCTTAAAGTTTATTTATTTATTTTGAGAGAGAGAAAGGAAGAGAGAGACAATCCCAAACAGGCTCCACACTGTCAATGCAGAGCCCCACGTAGGGCTCGAACTCATGAACCATGAGATCATGACCTGAGCCAAAATCCAGAGTCGGAGTCGACCATCTGAGCCACTCAGGCACCTCTCTGCTTCATTTCTTTGAGTACCTTGCCTTTGAGTTGATCATGTCACTTTGTAGCACACATGTAGGGAGGCAGCACGGGTTCACTTGCTGTTAGCAGATAGTTCTTTCTGAGACTGGAAAGCTGAGGGCTGATATTTGGACTAAATTGGTGGTTATATACAGCATATTAACTGTTTTCGTATTTTTGGCATTCTTCTAGCAGAACTTTCAATAAAAGATGATAAACTTGTAATTCATCTCAGCAAGGAATGTGTCTCATTCATCTTTGTATTCAGCACAGTTTGACACTGTGGCTCACTCGTAGTAGGTGGTTAACAGGTGGCTGTTTTGTAAAAATAACAAGTGAGGATTGTTAATGATTTCTAGAGGCACTGGAGCAAATGATTGGGTTTTTTGTTTGTTTTACACCTTCTTACTTACTAGGAAACCAAATGTTAGATGAAGGGTTTGTGGAAGATTTTTCAGAACAGGTGGAAACTGCCATCCGGGCCATCCTTTGTGCCATCCAGAACTTAGCAGAAAGAAACAGTAAAAAGACAGAGGAGAACACTGACCAAAGCAGACCACAAGAAGAGGATGGTATGTCTGAAATCAAGCAAAAGCTATTTTTCTACTTGATTTAATTTTTAAATTTATTTTTCTGGCTAAATATTTAAAAAAAATTTTTTTGTGTTTATTGTTTATTTTTGAGAGGAAGAGACAGAGCACGAGTCGGGAGGGGCAGAGAGAGGGAGACACAGAGTCTGAAGCAGGCTCCAGGCTCTGAGCTGTCAGCACAGACCCCGATGCAGGGCTCGAATCCACAAACCACAAGATCAAGACCAAGCCAAAGTCGGGCTCTCAACCGACTGAGCCACCCAGACGTCCCTTTGTGGCTAAATATTTAAGGACAGATATTGGGAATGATGAGTGCGTGAATGGAGATGAAAAGGGTTTATTTTGTGTTACTCATCATGTCTTCCTTTTCTGTGAATGAAAGGGGCAGCAGGCTTGGAGGGACTGCAATCAGGACATCTAACAAAACTGTTAGAGGATGATTTGTGGGCCGACGTGAGCACTCTGCATGTGCAGAAAATCATTTCTGCTGTCTCTGAGCTGTTGGAGAGGCTGAAATCGTACGGTGAAGATGGCACAGCAGCAAAACACACGGTAACCAGCAGTGCTTCAGAAGCTTCTTGCCATCCAGAGTGGGTTTCACTTTGCTCCATGTAGGTGCTCCCAAAGCAGGCCTTTGGGGGCAAAAATCACTCAAAATTTGTTTTCTTTATGCAGGTAAACATGACTGACAAACTGTGAAAAGCTTAGGGCTTGCTAGCTAAGGGTTATAGTTTTAAGATGCATAGATGCAAAAAAAATGCTAGCAACCCAGAGTATCTGTCATCTTGGGGATTCTTTCATACCCTAACCACATATTTTCTTGGGTGTTTGATGTTAATGGTGGATGTTGCTGCCATCAGCTAATGAATCGCCCCACTCTGCAAATACCTTTCCCTTCACAACAAGCTAGCAAAAGGGGAGGTTGCCACCTCCATAATATTCCAGAGAAGCAACTTATTTTGTAGGACATTGTAAGTCTGTAGCACTGACTCCAGTGCCAACTTTGATTCTGAATAGAATTCGTTTATAAACATCTTATTCAAA